CCCACTGCTGGGCCTTCCCTCACTTCTGAAAAGGTTTTAGGGCAAAGAAGTGTCCGCCGCGATGCCCATATGAGTGTTGGCGAACTGCACATGCCTTGGAAATTTTTTTTTTATTTCTCAGACAGTCAGACTTCCTCATGATGTTTTCCTTCACCGCCGAGAAAGAGGTAAATCAGCACTTAAAATTGCAATTAATAATTTCATTGATGCCGGCGGGGATCGAACCCGGTGTGCTAGCGTACTGTGAAATTTAATGCGAGAGCTAACAATCTGAGCTACCAGGGCTCTCTCATCATCGAAATGAATACTTAAGTTAGTTAAGTTACAGTCTTTTTACGCCCCACAGCTGGGCAAAGGCATCCCCCTTATTTCTCAGAGGGTTTTAGGGCAAAGAAGTTTCCGCCGCGCTGCCCCAATACATGTTTATGAACTTCACATGTCTTCGAAATATTTTTTTTCTTATTTCACAGACGTGCAGGTTTCCTCACAATGTCTTTCTTCACCGCCGAGCACGAGGTATATCAGCACTTAAAATTGCAATTAACAATTTCATTATTGCTAGCGGGGATCAAACCCGGCTTGCTAGCGTACTGTGAAATTTACAGCGAGAGCTAACCATCTGAGCTACCACGGCTCTTCTGAGCCACCACGGCTCTCATCTTTGAAATGAATACACCTATAGGATAGGGTGACAAAAGAGCACGCAGTCCACCTGTGGTGGTTGATGCGGCCCATAGATATCTACATCTATCCTCGATTACAAATCAAAATGCAGATGCATATCACCCGTGACGACTAAGATGGAACGCCTCGTTTCCAGTAAAAAGGCTCTCCGGTTCTCTACACTCACCATACCAAAAACTCTGATACTGAATAAATTATTTGATTTGATTTGATTTGAACATACGAAACACAGAAGGATTAAGCTATTATTTTACGCTGGTATTCGGTGAGAGCGTGGTCTTTCCCCGGTCGAGCCGGCCTATTCGTGCTACAACTATACTACTAATATAACTGCAGCATGGCTCTACCACGTATAAAAAATGTTTTAATGGACTAGTACATGATGCACAAAAAAGTGCAGAATCGGACTTCAATTGTGGCATATTTTTGTATAATACATAAAAAGTGAGTTCTTTAAAAATATACATAATTAATATTTTTTTTTTATATCAGGAAGAGATATATTTATTTTAAATTTTATTATTTCGTAGCTATTATTTGTGTTAAAGAAAATATGTTACCTTTTGGAGAAATAATGTTGTTGGTTATTGGAAATGTAACATAACCGCTGCGCACCTCGCGGCGCCTCTGTCACTCGACACATATTATGGTGCATTGGGTATTGTTTACAAAAAAACGTTATTTATAACTCTACATCAGCGGGAGTGACCCTTGAGTGGTTTTATGGTTTTTAAAGGAATGAATGAATCTTTATTTCTGTACAAGTGCTGTTAAAGTTTGTTTGCTCAAATAAAGTAATTAATTTTTCAATAAATATGGCACTTACGACTAAAATTTTGATATCGGTATTAAGAGTACTTTTCTAAAACTTAGCAAGACCTATTGAAAGATGACTGAATCATGTAAAGAAAAAGAGAGATTCAAGACTGAATCATTATAATGAAATAAAAAAAAACTATTTTTATTGACTAAAGCATTACGCCGCATTATGCCGCATCTGGTCCGAACTACATTCTACATCGGTGTAAGTTGATTGTGGGTTCTTGTAAGCTTATTATTAATGCGTTTTATGATAAAAAATTGTATTGTAGCCTATGATTTTGCACATAAAATATTGTAAACAATAGATGTAAGATTAAAATAAAATAAAATTGAACTATTAAAAAAACTTTGTGTCATTAAGAAATATGATAGTTTTGACTTTATTCAATATTTAGTTATACTAATTACTTTAAAACTTTATTAAATATATGTACTCGTTTATAGGAAATTTCATAGAGAATTCAGAAATGTATACATATTATAGTATTCGATATACCAAAATCAAGATATTTGCGTTTAAACTGATTGGGCCCAATCAGCCGTCCATTTTATTAAACAGCTCCGCAGTCAACGGAGTATTACGGTTAGAGTCTCCGCAGCTGAAAGGTTAATATCTTTGATTTTAGTCTACTAAAATCTTCTAGCTTTCCATATTACTAAAGTGGTTTATATTATGAGTTAATGTTTTGTTTGACAGAATGCGATTTTACGTGAGAGTGTTGGTGTGCACATTTATCTTTCATATAAAACGCATAATGACATATTTTCAAAGCGATGCCTGCTATCCGTCAAACCTTCAGTCCGCATCAGATGCGCTGCGACCATAAACTGAGTTTACTATCTACAATCTTTTATTTTCTCCCTTAACACAGAGTGAGTAGGTAATACAAGTTTTTATATATTAAACTGGCGATAACGATGTAGATCATACATATATCTTGATAAATGACATATGTATTATTGTAATCCTTGTTTATTGTTCTCAATAAGATGAATATAGAAGAATCTCTTAGCATCACTTTCTATTTTTTTCCTTGAAGCAACAAATTGTGTAACCACCCTAATAGAGTAGGACGCACCCCTAAAAAGTCCTATCTCGCTCAGCTCGTTTGTCAGTCGTGAGTTCGCAATCTGGTTAAAATAAAATATCTTTGAATTTAACTAAGTCATAGATTAAATGAATTTATCGACAACGTTTTTTGTTTCGCTAATGGCCATCAATAGAGTTGTATGAAATGGAAAATGGGCAACAACCTTGTAAAATGAGGTGAGAATAATATAGCTATCTTATTTTGTACCATGTTAAACGTTATGAGTATAAAGGGTTCAGCTAAAAGAATTTTGTTATTACTTTATGTATAATTTATATCTTACTCTGAGGTCATGTCATTTGTTATCCTTTTTTATGTTACTATATCACCATAAGGAATTTTCTGTTCCCTTGCACACAATGGCCGTCAAGGGGAGGCCCATGATAATAACAATGTTTTGTGTTTCTCTAATGACACAACTATGGAATAGAAAAAAGTAAAACCTTGTATAAAACTCTCACGTTCTGAGAATAATATATCTGTTTTATTATGTACCACGTAAAATTTTATATGTTCTACAAAAATTTTGTTATTATTTTATTAGGCCCGCCACATACATACGGAATTCCGATTCGGGATTCCGAACACAGCAAGTGCATATAAATTCAAGGACCCGCCACACACGTGCAGTAATTTTCCGTACGGAATTTTTTCCGATTCAAGATTCTGTATGTAAAAGGCGCTCCGAAAGCGAGTCTTCCATAGTAGATTTTGTCACAACACAGATTCGTAATTTCCGTACGGAACGGGTCCAGTGTGGGTCCACAACCGAAGCGAATAGGAGATCTAGTACATGAAGGATTATATGTTTCATCATGAAGAATACTTTTTGTGATTCGCATAACGAAAGCAAGCCTATTAATTTCATATAACATAGTTTTCCAAAGACTGTTATAGGACTCAAGTCAAAATATTAATTGCGCAAGATAGAAGCAGCTCAGTTCAGAGGAACTGCAGAGCTTCTTTGTGTGTTATAAGCACATTATTTTTGTCAAGAAGCTACATACACCTGCACTAATATTAAAAATATAGTAAAGAAAGTGATAGAGGTGGTAATAAAAATCGTATTAATTCCTGTGGCTCTGGTATCAGATCAGGGAACATCATTCCATTCAGCCGTTAACAAGTTGAAGGAACATACTTGATTAAAAACAACAAATTTGATTAAAAATACAAACATTGGAAGGAAAATATTGGTTACACACTTGAATGAAATTGGAATTTATTATTGAATTACTAATTTTGATTGCTTATTAATCAAATGTCTGTTTTCATTTCAGATGACACAATCATATTAAGTTGCTTACAGATTTACATCATAATTAGGCCTGAGAAATAATTTACGTGAAAAAAATATAATAAGGAATGGAAAAACATATAAATGTGATGACATTTAAATGTTTATTTATGAAACTAAACATGTAAAATAATTATATAACTGATGGCGATATCTTTTTTTCTTACCTAGATACAGCAACAATGCAATCGCAATATCGTCATCCATACTTGCTGGCAGAATATCTAGACTCAATGGCCAGTGTCTCTCAAATGAGCCTTGTTATTCCGAAGGGAAAAAAACGTTTGTGCTAATTCTGTATGTATATGGCCAGCCTTACTCTGAGATAATATACCGCGGAGAAAAGGAATTTAAGTCCGAGCTAAAATATTCTGAATTCCGTTTCGGGATTCAGAATTCCGTAAAGACATCACACACATACTTTTATTTCCCTTCGGAATAATAAGGCTCAGTTGAGAGACACTAGCCATTGAGTCTAGACATTCTGCCGGCGAATATGGACGATGATTATCTTTCTGATTGCGTTTGATTTGTGACACTCTAAGATTGCAAGATACTTAATATTATTTAAAAAGATCTATCTATCCAGAGACATTTTTAAATATGTATATCTGTAAACTCTTTTTACGAACTATTTAACAAAATAAGATGAAAGAAAAACATATATAAACAGATCTACTAGCTTAGCACACTGGGTGCGTTGCGTAAGGATTTTACGAATACGTGTTGCGAATATAAAATCTGTGGAAGACTTGCGTTTTCGGACTTCCGGACGCACAGGGAGTCACACGGAATTTTAAATCGGAGAAAATTACATACGAAAAACTACTATAATATATGTGCGTGTGTCCTTGATTTTATATGGATTTGCTAAGTTCGGAATCCTGAATCAATATTCCGAAACGGTTTTTCGAAACGAAAATCCGTATGTATGTTGCTGGCCTAAAGTTTTGTTTTAGTTTTTTTTATATGGTAATAAATAAAGTACTGGAAAAAAATATTATCAATTACATTTGACAATTGTTGATAATGGATTGACAAATGTCAAAAATTTTACAAATCTTGTCCTTTTATGAATTTATAAATTTAAAATGTTTCATAACAAAATGTGCCATAAAATAATACTTCAAAACATTAAAAAATTTCCTTTGTTGTCCAAAATTGCAATCTCAAGGTCTTTAACTTCTGATTCTGTTAACTTCACTGATGCAGTTGATTTGGCGTATGCTTCTTACGAGAGCACATCAGATGAAAGCTGTTCTAGACCACCTCTGATTATCTTACATGGGCTTTTAGGGTCAAAGAATAATTGGAATAGCGTGAGCAAAGCTATACATCGTACAACCGGGAGAAAAGTAATAAGTATTGATGCCAGGAACCATGGTGATAGTCGCCACTCTTTACAGCACACGTACATTCATATGGCACACGATGTGATGAAGTTACTAAAAAAATTAGAGCTATCGAAAGTTTCATTATTAGGTCATAGTATGGGCGGGCGAACTGCCATGGTTCTGTCATTACTATGTGTAAGTTGTACGTAATTTTTTATTTATTATCATTTTTGTCTTTAAGAGGGAATACATATTTAATTTAACCTCCAAAGGTACCATAATTAATCTATTGTTTACACTTTATGCATAAACTTGTAGGCGGAAATGTTTAGTGCCTATTTTCATTTTATATGATCTCTATTAATTTATGTGGGATTATTTGTCAACAAATAATTCTATTAAGGATGTAAACATTTTGTTTCAAAAGTTTTAATACTTCTCATAAATTATGTCATGTTATATGGCAAATTAGTTACATAACAAATTAGTTGAGTTTGTAAATATTCAACAGTCTATTTATGTATTTTTAATATTTAAATGAAATTTGCTATATATATACAGTAGAACGTCGATTATCCAAACAACCGCTTAACCGAACTGTTACCTCGGCACCTCATTGTGATGCGACCACCTTCTCGCTTCTCCACGCAGTGTCCCGTGTTGTTGTTGGCCTACGTTCAGTACCGATAGCGCTATATGTTTATTTGTTGATTTTGCACTATTAGTTCACAATTTAAAATGCCTAAACGAAAACGTGTTGTTCTTTCCATAAACGATAAATACAAGATTAACCAACAATTAGAGAAAGCCGAATCTGCAACTAAGTTATCTAAGAAGTACAAAGTGGTTAAGTCGAAATTACGGATATAAAAACCAAAAGATGACCATATCCAATTTTATATCCAAACATGATTTTACCGACAAGTCGTAAAACTATGAAGCTCGCCATGAACACCGATCTCGATGACACTGTTTACAAGTGATTGACACAAAAAAATCACAAGAAGAACCTATCTATGATGCCGTTCTATGTGAAAAGGCAAAACATTAAATGAAAACTTGGAGGGCCATCGAACTTTCAAGCAAGCATGTGAAGGCATTCATGAGCTTCAAATACAAGGAGAAAAGCTATCTGATAGTTCTTCAGCAGCTGGTTCTTTCGAAATCAAATTAAGCGACGTATTTAAACAAGAAAATTATGTTTTAGAAAATGTTTACAATCCTGACGAAACTGGACTCAATTGGTAGGCTTTGCCAGGAAAAACTCTTGCCTCGCGTCGTGAATCAGCGGCACCTTGTGTAAAGTAAATAATCATATCAATACTGTAGCTTGTATTACAACTGTAATAGATTGAATTTATATAACATATTATAAATATGTTTTTGTTAGTATATTAGTACATACAATAATACAGTTCGATTGTCAGAACAAACCAGTTTTCCGAACACCTATGTCCCCCAATCAATTCAGATAATCGACGCTCTACTGTAGTTCAATTGATATTTAGCTCTCACTGTGAAAATGAAATTAATATAAAATTTCAAGTATTTTCATTATCTTCAAAAAGTAGTAGATTATTAATTTAAGTGTATTTTCGTGTATTTTATATACTTTGATATGATATCTCTAAAATTCATAAACAGATTTTTTATTAACATAATATAAAATATATATACTTTCACTTATTTTTAATAGGTTGTAAAATATATATACCTTTACAACATATTAAAGTCCACCGCTGAATATAAGTTTCTCCCATAGATTGCCTCATACGGGGGAATATTTGCCTTAGTTGCCACACTTGACAGGCGGGTTGGCAACTAGTTTTTTATTTTTAGTCATTACTACAAATTCTGCTGTCCATTTTTTTATAGGAGGATGTTGCTGCCCATTTTTTTAATATGCGAATGAGCATATGGCTCACCTGATGATAAGTAATTACTGCCGCATGAACAACTGCAACACCAGGGGAATTGCACATGCGTTGCCAGCCTTTTAAAAAGGAGTAGGCTCTTTTCTTGAAGATCCCTAAGTTGTATCGGTCGGGAAAAATCTCTGGTGGTAGTCGATTTCACAAGGAAGTTGTGCGAGGAAGAAAACTTCTTTTAAATAGCACAGTGGTGGACCACCAGTCATCCAGATTTTAATGATGGTATTGCGAGTTTTGTTGCGACGTGTGATGTTGAATACGATAAAATATGCAAAGAGATGCAATATCCCTTTGCAGTGCCAGTGAATCAAGCCGATCGGAAAGAACTCGGTCGACAACGATTCAAACAGCTCTGTGCTGGACATTATGATCAAATGAAAGGAGCTGGCACTGGGGAGCCCCAGCTCAGAGATGAGATCAGTATTCCATGTGCGGCCAAACCTGCGCCTTGTAAAGTTGCAGGCGGTGTGCCGGCATGAAATACTGCCCTGCTCTGCTGAGCATGCCAAGCTTTTTAGAGGCTAATTTGAAACTGTACTGCATCTCCTAATTTGTTTACCTCTCTCGCTTCTTATGACACCCATAGAATGATATTGGATTACGACACCCCACGGGATGATATTGGGTAGTGGATATGCTTACACCGCCACTACTTGGTCCATGTACGATCACAGTTGTCTCATATAAATTTCAAATTGATCAGAAGAAAATTTGGTCTATTTTGTTAGGAGTAATTTGGTTGTGTATTTTTGTTATTTAAATAATCGAATTATATAATGTTTATTTTACAGTCTGACCTAGTTTCAAGTCTCATTGTGGTTGACATTTCTCCAGTGAAAACTAGCCCACAAATATTCTCAATGATGAGTTTATTTGATGCTATGGCAGCTGTCTCAATCAGATCTGGTATTGCAATGTCCAAAGCTAGAAAATTAGCTGATGAACAATTGAAATCAATTATACCAGATATAAACTTAAGAAATTTTTTAATTACTAATTTGGTACAAACAAATACTGGATCATACACATGGAGAGTGAATCTTCCAGCGCTAAAGGAAAATTTTCAAACATATATATCTTCTTTCCCATCTAATTTAAAAGGACTGCAATATTGTGGCCCAACTCTATTCATTGGTGGATCACTTTCAGATTATATTGGGTAAGTTGTTGATATATTTTTCTGCGCTATACTAATTATAATAGTCATAGTTGTAAAACAACATAAAGTTATGTGATATATAAAATCCATCCTAAAAGAAAAGATATGCATACATGAACATACATTTAACAATATAAGAAATGAGTTAATTAGTTCACTTTTGATGAATTATTTTTACTATAGTCTGGCTAAACAATAAAGGGGATACTTCCAGACTATAGTTAAATCATCAAAAATTAATCAATCATTGTAGTATAGTCATGTCAGTATGAAGTATTTCCATAATACCAAATAAAACAGTGCTGTGGTAGTTCAAGAGTTAAGTGCTCAGGCAGGTCAGGCAACCCAGGATAGATCCCTGCTGTGCTGGTAATTGTTAATTATGATTTGATTACCTCATTCTCCATGGTGAACAAAAACATCATGATGAAACATGCATATCTGAGGAATAAAATATGTAAGTATAGATGTACAAATAGATGTAAATATAGATGTACAATGGACTAATTACTCCATAACCCTTTCAGAAATTAAAGGAGGCATGTAACTAGCAGTAGCACATATTATATAGGCACTTTAATAGTGAAATAAGTTTCTTGGCTAAGGCAATTTTACTGGTTGGGGTATAAGTACATACCACAGAAATTGTAATAATAAGACAATAGAATTCGCATAGACGCGTGACCTTGTCGCCGCTATGATGTGTTGACGAACATTATTCACTGGGAATGTCGTTCGTGAATTTATGTTATTATAAATTTATAATGGTGAATTGCAGCATAATTATTTATAAAAACTCATCAAGGACCTGTAATTCAACTAATGAAGGCATAACTAAAAAATATAAATTAATTTCATCAGTAAGTTGACTATTTACTCATAATTGTTTTAACTAATTTACATTTCATTGAGTACTTTACTATGATATTTACCTTTGTAAACTTTCATTTATTACTTTTCATATTTACAATTACCATTGCTGCTTTTGTTCTACCGTAATACGCGACGCACGCAACTTTGACAAACTCGCCAATTAATGTAATGTGAAACGTTAGATATCATTGTGCATTGCGTATGTTTATAATACGGTAAGATGTGCCGACATCGGTTTTGGAAGTAATCGAGCGCTAATTCATTTCTATGGTCTTATTATCACTATTTCTGTGGTACATACACATTGAAGCTCCAAAATATTCAAATATTTCTTTTATATTAAAATGTTTCCTTTGCACTTTTGTTCATAGTTGGTGTAAAAATTATCATTTATATTTCAGTAAAAATGATCTGCAAGATATCCAAGAATATTTTCCCTTGGCAGAATTAACATTTATAGAAGGAGCAGGACATTGGGTTCATAGTCAAAAACCTGAGAAGTTTCTTGAAGTTGTATGTAAATTTCTAACTGAGAAGTAGTGTTTCAATAACTTTTTAGTACAATTATTGTGATTTACCTGAAGATTATTTAGTTGTTCTATTTACTTATACAAACCTTTATAGTTTAAAAAAATTATGTAAATTTATTTCAATGTGATAAATTGTGGTTAACCAGTAGTTCGTAGCTTATCATCCTGTTTTATTGCAGAAGAACTTAGGTATTAAGTTTTAGAACTTAAATTTTTTTGGAATAAAATCATTTCCATAATAAACCTTCAACTGTTCGTGGGAATTCTTTGTCAAAGCATCTCTAATAGTCATCAATAATAATAACAATCAGTTTATTTGCATGAATGTGGTACAATTTATATATTTCTTTACCTATGAAATTGCCATTCTGCAGTAGTGGTCATTTCAAATCTTTGAGTATTAAAAGTTTCAAATGCAAGTAATTTTTGTTTGGCTAAAAATTCTAATTTCAAATTAACTTTATTTTAAAGCATGGAATTCTTTTTCAAAATTAGTCATTTGTTTATTGATTAGCAATATGTTTTCATTGCCGTGTAGTGGCGGTTGAGAATATCCACTACCACATGTCTTCCCGTGGGTGTCGTAAGGGGCGACAGAGGGAAACAGGCAGATGGATGGTCATGGACAGGGAGATGGGCAGCAGCATCTTCTTGGTAGCAACAATTACACAATAAAAAACTGCGGTTACCAACCCGCTCGCCAAGTGTGGCGACTATGGAAAACATCTCCCCATGAACAACGACACAAACAAATGGCCCCCAGTCCCCGTCGGCCCCGCTGTTCCTGGCTACGGTGGCGACCATGGTAACGACGGGGCATGGGGTGCTAAGAATCTCCGGTGGAGGTTCGGTTGCCACCTACGACGACTCGACCTGGCAACATATAACGCACACATCCTGAGGACTGACGAGAAGATACTGGAGCTGGAAGAAGAGGTAGACAATTTGCGCTGGCATATTATTGGATTATCCGAGGTCCGAAGAGAGGGGGAGGACACGGTAATCCTCGAGTTCGGCAACTTGTTCTATCACTGGGAGGGCGACCATCTGTCCCAAGGAGGTGTCGGATTTATCGTCCACAAGTCTCTCGTCAACAACGTTGTAAAGATTGAGAGTGTGTCGACAAGGGTTGCGTACCCTGAATGTCAAAAAAGGCAGGTCGCTGAAGGTCATACAGGTTTACGCACCAATTTCGGCACATCTCGATGAGGAGGTGGAGGAAATGTATGAGGATATCCCTAAAGCCACGCATTCCTCCAAAACCCAATATACGGAGTTGATGATAACTCAAAACTAGGTACGAGAGAAAGCGGTGAGCTGAAGTTAGGGAAATTTGAAATAGGGCAACGGAACCCAAGGGGCCAGCAGCTGGCCGACTTCATGGAGAAAGAGGGACTCTTTATGATGAATTCTTTCTTCCAGAAGCGGCCCCACAGGAAGTGGACCTGGTCGAGCCCCGACTGTTCGACAAAAAATGAGATTGACTTCATTATGACGACCAGACGCCAACTGTTCAGTGATGTCTCAGTGATCGCGAGGGTGAAAACTGGCAGCGATCACCGAATGGTTAGAGGCACACTCAACCTAATCGTTAAGTTGGAGAGCTCTCGTCTAATCAAGTCAACGCTCCGCCCCCTCGTGCTCTAATCCAGAATCCCGAAACCTTACAGCTCGAGTTACAAAACCGCTTTCAGTGCCTAGATGACTTCAATACAGTGGACAATATGAATGACAAGCTCGTGAAAACTGTCCATGTGGTCGGATAATGATTTCTTAATGATTTCTTAAATCCCCCCGTGACCATGGTTGCTGTAAAGCACCCGAAACGTCGGGAATTAAAAATAAGTGAAATCAGTTAAATAAACGCGATAGAATCCGTAAATTTAGTTTTATTCAACATGTGGTCGGAGCTAAGTTCTACAAGACCCGCCTCAGAAGAACACAAAAACTCTCCGATCACACTCTTAATCTCATGGATGTTAGACGGGAGATGAAGCTGCAGTCGTCAGCAGATTTGTCAGCATACAGGCAACTGAACAGACAGATCTCCAAATGCATGCGATAGGACTTACGCAACTTCAATACAGCTCGTATTGAAGAAGCGATTGAGCGGAACCAGGGCTCCAAAGTCTTTGCCAGAGATCTGTCTGCCAGAAAGAGCAAACTGTCAAAGTTGAAGACTGAGTGTGTCGGCATCTTTTCTGGGACACCTGAGATTTTGAGTAAGATTGAGAGGTTCTGTTAGCAGCTGTACACATCATCTTCGGAGCCACACGCAAGTGTGAGTAACGATCCAAGAACAAGTCTTATCCGACACTATTCCGATGATATCCCGGACGTCAGTCTGAGCGAGATTAGAATGGCTCTCCAGCACCTTAAAAACGGCAAGTCCCCGGGCGAGGATGGAATAACAGCGGAGCTTCTGAAAGCGGGTGGAACATCGGTACCTTAAAGTCCTTCAGAAGCTCTTTAATTCCGTCCTCCATGGTGGCACTACTCCCGAGGCGTGGAGCAGAAGTGCGGTGATCTTGTTCTTCAAAAAAGGTGACAACGCTCTCTTGAAGAACTACAGACCGATATCCCTTCTGAGCAGCGTCTACGTGCTGTTTTCGAGAATCATTACGAATTGTCTTGCACGCAGACTCGACGACTTCCAGCCTCCCGAACAAGCCGGTTTCCGAAAAGGCTTTAGCATCATAGACCACATACATACCCTTCGGCAAATTGTACAAAAGTCCAAAGAGTACTGCCACTTTGCGTGGCGTATGTGGACTATGAGAAAGCCTTTGATTCCGTCGAAATTTGGGCGGTGCTACAGTCTCTTCAGCGGTGCCAAGTTGACTGTCGGTATATCGAAGTGCTGAAGTGTTTATACAGTAGGGTTACGATAACTATCGGAGTACAGAACCAGAGTACGAAACCTATCCAACTGCAGAGAGGTGTAAGACAGGGTGACGTTATTTCCCCGAAACTCTTCACCGCTGCATTGGAAGACGTTTTCAAGCTACTGGACTGGAAATGATACGGATTTAACATCAATGGCGAGAACAACACACACCTTCGATTTGCCAACGATATAATGGCAGGATCGCTGGAGGACCTAAGCGGTATGCTCAATGACCTTAATAGTACCACCCAACAGATTAGCCTTAAGATAAACATGGACATAACAAACATCATGTTTAATGTCCATGTTACACTTATGCCGGTAGTTGTTGGGAGCACTAAGCTCGAAGTTGTTGACGAGTGTTTACCTGGGACAAATAGTCCGACTAGGTAAGTCCAACTTCGACCGAGAGGTCAATCGACGGATTCAACTCGGCTGGGCAGCGTTCGGGAAATCACGTTACATCTTCTCGTCAAGTATACCTCAAAACCTGAAAACGAAATTGTACATACAGTGCATGTTGCCAGTGATGATATATGGAACTGAGACGTGGTCCTTCACTGCTGGTCGTATGAGGATGCTCAAAGTCGCTCAGCGAGCTATGGGGAAGGCTATGCTCGGGGTTTCTCTGCTTGATAAACTTAGAAATGAGGATATCCGCAGTAAAACTAGAGTGACCGACATAGCTCAACGGATTAGTAAGTTGAAGTGGCAATGGGCTGGCCATATAGCTCGAAGAACCGACAACCGTTGGGGAAAAAAGGTTCTCGAGCGGCAGCCTCGTACCGGTAGGCGAAGTGTAGGGCGACCCCCTACTAGATAAAGACACCTGGTAAAACATGCAGGAAGTCGATGGATGCAGGTGGCTCAGGACCGTGCCTTGTGGCATACCTTGGGGGAGGCCTATGTTCACCAGTGGAATTGTGAAGGGCTGTAATGATGATGATGATGATGATGATGTTTTCGTTACGTTTGAATATGTGTCGTCATCAAGAACACGTTAAAAATTCGAGTAATTATGGAATGTGAGTACCGTCGTGGCAGCAACGTGGCGCAAGCGGCAACGCAACATCAACGGCTCCGTAAAGAGCGAATACTACAAACAAACGCACCACCTGTTATTGGTTTGCCCGTTTCCGTTCTGGCAATTTCGACTTGAAAACAAAAACTTTGGTGGACAATAACGAATTAAAGGCGATTCTGGAAGCTGATGAAACTCAATCTACGGCTGAATTAGCAGCAGCTTTCGACGTAACAATATTGGTCAATTTGGCAAAGTAAAAAAGGCTTGACAAAAGGGTGCCCCGCAAATCAGTTGCCCACAGTTACTGAATTTAGCGCTCCTTCAAGATATCCGCGTCTTAGCTCCACTGAAGCCTCCGACCCGCAGAACCGTTCTTGGCTCCAACTTTCCATTACCCAGGATGTGCCAGCTGTTAAATAGCTACAAAGAAATATTTGATGTTAACTTTGATTCCGCTTACGGTTTCATACAGTTTGTCTTTTCTATTACCGTTATCATACGAATGAACTACGTTCTTTTCTTTTAAAATTATTAACTCAAATTATAAATCAAAACCTACTTAAGTTATAGTTATAATGCTTGCTGTGTTTACTAGTAAGTAGTTACTACACTAAGCTTAAGAAACTTATCTGCTGTTTAAGATTATTATTGTGAAAGTTGACTGTTAGTAAGCCATATTAAAATAAAAAATATAGTAAAAAAACTCAATGATCGTCAGCGCGAAATACGCCACGAGACGTACGCGAATCATTGGGCTGCTCAACAGGCTCACAAACGAAGGAATTTTGAATCTCATTGTTACCTGCGACGAAAAATGGATTCTGTTTGACAATCGCAAGCGCTCAGCAAGTTGGTTGGACCCTGTTTCAGCACCTAAACAATGCTCAAAACGAAAACTTACCCCTAGAAAAGTGATGGTCGCTGTTTGGTGGTCTAGCGCTGGTGTGATTCTTCACAGCTTCTTACCCACCGGGATGAGCATTACGGTAGTGTACTATAAAGAACTGAACACGATGATGGAGAAGCACGCACGAGACGTGCGGCAAAAAGTACTAATCTACGAGTATCAAGGATAAATAAAATGTTGGTGGCAAAATTT